AATCGGAGTTAAAATAACCGTTAAATCGTGATTTTTCTTTTTATAACTGTCGAAACGTTTTGTCCGTTACTTGATTTCTGAATGTTTGTTTTTTGATATTTTTTGCGTATGTGATCTCGAAATATATACAAACATATTTGACGGTTGGATCGTTGAAACTAGTTTCGTAGAATGCGTATCCCATCAAAACAATAGATTTACTAACATTTAAGAGTTTATTCATAATTTCATTAAGTATAACATAAGATTTTGTGGTATCCACTAGTGTAAATATTTTAAATTGAAGATCGAATTCATTCATTGTATTCATATAGGGTCAAGAAGTGTAACTGTAAAGAAACATCAAAATCGGAGTTAAAATAACCGTTAAATCGTGATTTTTCTTTTTATAACCGTCGACAAGTTTTGTTCTGTTACTTGATCTCTGAATGTTTGTTTTTTACAATTTTTGGTGTATGCGATCTCGAAGAATATACAAACATGTTTGACGGTTGGATCGTTGAAACTAGCTTTGTAGAATGCGTATCCCATCAAAACAATAGATTCACTAACACTAAAGAGTTTATTCATACTTTCATTAAGTATAACATAAGATTTTGTGGTATCCACTGGTGTAAATATTTTAAATTGAAGATCGAATTCATTCATTATATTCATATAGGGTCAAGGAGTGTAGTTGTAAAAAATCATCAAAATCGGAGTTAAAATAACCGTTAAATCGTGATTTTTCTTTTTATAACTGTCAAATGGTTTTGTCCTGTTACTTGATCTCTATATGTTTGTTTTTTGCAATTTTTGGTGTATGTGATCTCGAAGTATATACCAACATGTTTGACAGTTGGATCGTTGAAACTAGTTTCGTAGAATGCGTATCCCATCAAAACAATAGATTCACTAACACTTACAAATTTATTCATACTTTCATTAAGTATAACATAAGATTTTGTGGTATCCAATAGTGTAAATATTTTAAATTGAAGATTGAATTCATTCATTGTATTCATATAGTGTCAAAAAGTGCAGCTGTAAAAAAATCATGAAAATCGGAATTAAAATAACCGTTAAATCGTGATTTTTCGTTTTATAACCGTCGAAAAGTTTTGTTTGGTTACTTAATCTCTAAATGTTTGTTTTTTTCAATTTTTGGCATATGCGATCTCGAAGTATATACAAACATGTTTGACGGTTGGATCGTTGAAACTAGTTTCGTAGAATGCGTATCCCATCAAAACAATAGATCACTAACACTTAAGAGTTTATTCATACTTCCATTAAGTATAATATAATATTTTGTGGTATCCACTAGTGTAAATATTTTAAATTGAAGATCGAATTCATTCATTATATTCATATATGGTCAAGGAGTGTAGCTGTAAAAAATCATCAAAATAGAAGTTAAAATAACCGTTAAATCGTGATTTGACGGTTGAATCGTTGAAATTAGTTTCATATAATTCGTATCCCATCAAGTTCAATGGTATATATATATATATATATATATATATATATATATATATATATATTAAGTAGATTTAAATCTATTTATTTTGTACGTATAATTATTATAGTTTTTAGGGGTATAAAATTTAATTTAAAATTATATATATATATATATAATTATTATAGTTAATATTTTGGGGGTATAATTATTACAATTATTATAGTTAATTTAATATATATATATATATATATATAATTATAGTATTTTTTAGGGTTATAAAATTATAAAATTAATATTTTGCTTATTGTGTATCGTGTTATCCATGTGTATACCCGAATCAACCCGTTATCTTAATAGGTACTTATCGGATTACCCGATAATGACCCTATTCGTTATCACGTCGACCCAAACATCTATTAATTTCGTGTCGTGTAATGTCCTATAAGAATTCAACCAGGCCTAGTCCAAACGGTCCAATTAAGTAAGATTGGAATCAAAACAAACATATAAAAGATCTGATGTCAAATGCATTGAATGTGTAGTATAAGAATTCAACCTAGAAAGTTATTTCTAAAGGTACGGTCAACAAAGATTATAAATGAATTAATACCAAAAGGAAATTAAATTAAAGAGTCAAATGTAATTATGAATTAAAACAAATATAAACAACAAAGGTAGTGTGAGATGAGAATTTGTGTTTTGAAATACCACTTAAAATTTCAACACGTGCCAGATCTCAAGCGAGTCCATAATGACAGTTTTTTCAGGGTAATTCGGGAATAGCAACAAAGAGTTTAGGCAAGACGACTAACAAAAGAGAAATTGGGATGATTGAGTTGTGAGGTTAGTTTGTATAAGTACATAATGGGACGTCTGAGCTATGGGTGTTTGGTTTACAGATTAACGAGTATAGTTAAGGTGTTTTGCATTGTATTCATGCATTGTTATCGCTGATGATTTGATACCTGATTGTATGATGTCATGACACTTAATTTAGTATTGTCAATTTATTATGATAAGGTTATGTTTTTACTGAGCTGTTAAAAATTCAGCCCTCTATTGTTATGCATATTTACGAACTAGACAATCAAAATGATAGACGAGATAAGATCGGATCAAATGTGATACTAGAAGTTTAATTATTTATTTATTTTAACTCTGTAAAGAATTATGATTTATTTCTATAAAAGGAATTTATCTTCACTTTCAGCTTCTCTTTAATTATTTTATTTTTAATTTTGGCTCGCTTTCCGAATTCGGATTTTTCTATCAACCCCGGCTAATCGGGTTTGCACATTTGCCCAGCCCGTCTGATATTAAGACAAAATCCTTGCAACCAAACAGCAAATGGATGTCTGACATTGTACATCTAGGGTTGTTGAATCTTGCAGAGATCCCATTGAATATGGCAGATAATCTACAATATTTGACACATTTTCTCCATGCAATGAACCAAAGCTACCCCAATTCGCAAACATATAATTAATGTGTAATGTGTGCGTATGCGTATGCGTGTATTATATACATCTAATGTGTATATTTGACACATTTTCTCCATGCAATGAACCAAAGCTACCCCACAGTTCACAAACATATAATGTGTAATGTGTGCGTATGCGTGTATTATATGCGTATAATGTGTATACATAATCTACAATATTTAATACATGTTTCTCCACGTAATGAATTGGGATTTTTGTACAACCTAATTTATCACCCAAATATACCAAGAGTGAAGATTTAGGGTCTAGAATTTCATTTTGTTTACCTAACAAATAATTCAAGAGATCGAGCGATAACTTAATATTTTTTTTGAAATTATGTATCAAACGAATGAGAACAATATTTATTGAAGGTGCTGAAAATTTTTTTTCACCTCATTCTTGGCCAGTACCTTAAGTTAGATGATATTTTTAATTGTTTTATTATTTTAATTATTTGATATTCATTTAACATTCTTATTTTTTAATTAGTTATAATTCATGTCATTTAATGTTTAAAAACATTCTAATCACATTTAATCAAGACCTTTGGATGTTATAAAATCTAATGGTTAAAAAGGAGTGTAAAAATATTTGCAAAAATTCAATTCAGCCTGAACCTTTGGATGTAATATATATGGGATATGATCAAGGGACAAACATTTTGACAAACATTTTTACACTCCTTTATAGCTTTTAGATTTTATACCATTCAATGGTCTAGATTAAGAGTGATGTGGAGATTTTTAAACATTAATGACTTGGATAATTATGTGGATAATAACCAATAAGAAAAACATTAATTTAAATTAAACAGAAATATCTAATACAATAAAATTGAAAAGTAAAAATTTCATTTGAACTGATAAAAAAAAAGAATATGAAACCCACAGTGAAGAATACCCAAGAAAGGTGAGGAGACAAATCGATGTTCTTGCACCTTCATTACTTGAGATACTCTAATTCGATTGATACGAAATTTTGATGCATACTACAACAAATCAAGCTATCAGTGTCTTGAATCTTCTTAGAACAAAACCCTAAATTCTAAATCTTCAATCTTGACTCCTGGATTTCACTTTCTTTTTTAATATGATGCACAATGAATGGTTGATGAGTTTGTGGCTGCAGAAATTTTCAATGCTTGGCTCGATAGGGTTTTGCTATGGAGGTGGCAAAATGATTGAGTTGCTAGCCTAGGATTAGGGTGCTTAAACTCAAAACAAAACCCTAAATTATTCTCAAAGTAAAATTATTTCTGCATGGTATCATGTTTTTTATGTAATTAGGGTTCTTTGTTTGAAGGAAAGAAAGACTTTTCATCTAGAAGTTGCAGACCTCTTCGACAAAGATGGAAATGGAATTTTCATTTTATTTTTTTATTTTTATTTTTTACATTAGATATTTCAAAGTTTGATTATTTATATTTCAATTTTATTATTATTTGATATTCCTTTTAAATTAAATTAGCGTTTTCCATATTAGTTATAATCTACATTATCATCCATGTCATTTAATTTTTAAATCCTCGAAATCACTATGAATCAAGATTGTTGGATCTTATAAGATCTAAAGGCTACAAAAGAGTGTAAAAATTTTCGTCAAAATCTTTGTCCCTTGATCCTATCCCTATATATATACACACACAAAGCCTTTAAGGGAAGGACTCCACATCCTTTTGTTTTAAATGGGGATTGTTTAGGGCTCACACGACATCGAACTTCAATAATCCGAACCATCTATTTTTCAAGGTGCACGATCATTCTTGCAAAATATTAGGCAAATTGGAAAAAATTGAGTCATTTGGTTAAGTTCAAAGAAATTGACAAACACAATGTTCTAAGAAACATTGAAATTTCATTATAACAATTAAATAGGTAAATGGTTTCAAACTGAATTGAATTTTTGCATGGATGATCTATGAATCGGGAGATAAAAAAAATAGACAGCTTGGATTGTTAAAGTTCAACGTGGAATAGGTCCCATAACTAATCTCCATTTTTTGAAAGAAAAAAAAAAGTTTTCCCTCTCCATAAAGGCCATTATGTCTATATATACACACACATGTGTGTGTGAGAAATCCCAAGCTTTCAACATATATTTGTAGATGCTAGAAATCCCAAGAAAAACACACTAGCTAATTACATCCACTCTTTTGCGGTTGAATCTCATATTTTTTCCATCTTTCACTTGTGCATCCTAAATGTTGAGTGTTTAAACACTATATCCATATGCTCCTCTTTAATCATACTGGATTACTAATTATTCATATTAAACCTGCAGTTTACAAAACTTACAACTAGCATAAATCTTTGAGTACTTGTTACTTGGTTTCATTGTTTGCTTATCTCTTGCTTGTCATTGTTTGTTTCCACTCACGATCTTGCACATTTTGTTGAGCATTCGCACAACAAGATGGACACGCAGAGAGAAACGGAAGATACAAAAAGAGAGTTAACGTCGGAAGAAGAAGAAGAGCGTGCGAAAGTGGATATGTGGAAATATGTGTTCGGGTTTGTTGAAATCGCGGTGGTAAAATGTGCCATTGAACTCGGGATAGCCGATGCAATTGAAATCCATGGCAGCCCCATGACACTCTTAGAGCTCTCGTCTGCTCTAAGTTGTGATCCTTCTCACCTTTACCGCGTCATGAGGGTACTAGTCCACCTCAAAATATTCAAAGAAAAAACAACGGAATTAGGCCCCAAAGGTTATGCACAAACACCATTGTCCAAACGGCTATTAAAATCCGGAGAAAATAGCATGGCTGCGTTAATTTTGCTCGAGAGTAGCCCAGTAATGCTGGCACCGTGGCACGGCCTAAGTGCCCGACTTCGAGGAAATAGCAATCCGTCATTTGAGGCAGTGCATGGAGAAGATTTATGGAGCTTTGCTGCCGCCAATCCTGATCACAGCAAGCTCATCAATGATGCAATGGCTTGTGATGCAAGGGTGGCTGTGCCTGCAGTGATTGAAAGCTGTTTAGAAGTGTTCAAAGGGCTTGAGACAATAGTAGATGTGGGGTGGTGGTGATGGGACTACGTTGCGCTTGTTGGTCGAGACTTGTCCGTGGATTCGAGGCATCAACTTTGATCGTCCTCATGTTGTGTCTGTTGCTCATGAGTGTGATCGGATTGAGAATGTCGGAGGTGACTTTTTTTATTGTGTTCCGAAGGCTGATGCTGCAATTATCATGGTCAGTATATTTATTGTATAAGGAAATCAATAAAACTAGGGTTTTTTTTTAAATCCAAAATGGTCTTTGAGATTGATATAACTAGTTACTTTGGTCCCTTAGATTAAAAATTGATAGAAGTGGTATATGAGATTGTCCACTATCAATCATTTTGGTTCTTACGTGAAAAATCTTCGTTAAATAAGGACTAAAATGACAAAATACCCTCAACTTTTGTCAAATGTCATTTTGTTCTTATTTAACAGAGATTTTATACGGAATGACCAAAACGATTGATGGTAGACAAAATCATGGACCATTTCTATTGATTTCAAATTTGAATGACCAAATTAATAAGTTATACTGATCTCGGGGACAAACCATTTTGGCTTTAAAACTTAAAAACAAACCACTTACTTTGGAAGATTATTGCTTTTACCTGCTAGTAGTCATCTTCTTTAATATAAATCCCGAATGAAACCTCAATAGAGCTAGGGATCACAACTTATGACTTATTATATTAAGATGAGGATTAATAAATATATCAGCTATCACATCATGTAGTCTGCTATTATTATGAAGAAAAAAAAAATGGAGTCCCTCTATTCTTGCTTGATTTACAACACATGTTATGATAAAAGGTAAGATCTAATTCTCTTTTCGTGAATTGTAGTGGGTTCTTCACGATTGGGGAGACGACGACTGCATTCGTATCCTGAAGAAGTGCAGAGAAGCTATTCCGAACGATAAAGGGAAAGTTATAATCATAGAAGCTGTGATCGAAGAAGATGGAAAAGAAGACAACAAGCTAGCAGATGTGAGATTGATGCTAGACATGGTGATGCTGGCCCATACAAACACAGGCAAAGAGAGGACCTTTAAGGAATGGGGATATGTTCTTGGAGAGGCTGGATTTAGCCGATACACAATCACACCTATTCATGCAGTCCAATCAGTGATTCAAGCTTTTCCATAAATTTATGCAGCAATTAAACTTAAGGATGTCGATTGGTATTCTCAATAAGTGCTTTTTTGTTTTCAAAGGTAATTTTCTAGTGTTGTTGCTTTGTCATCTGGCTTGTAATATTTGGATTGTTTTGACAATAATATATAATTGTGTGATGTGTTAGATTGTTAAGAGTCTTGAGACATATTTAAGAGAAAAACTTTGTCCCACATTGGTCAAGTGAAGAATGTAGAGTTGCAAACGCCTGGAGCCAACCACAATGTGTTGTCATCTTTGCGCTTGGGGCAATTACGCAGCTAATGAGGTTCTAACCAAAGCGCGTCTATAGCTGGTTGAAAACTATTTCCAAACTCCATTTTAGGCTTGGGTTTAGTCTTGTGCCTTTGAGAATTTTTGAAAAGGTCAACTCTCTTTGGAGGAGTCTCTACAATATTTAGTTCAAACAATTTATTTTAATCATTAACAATATTAGATTCTAATTAATTTCCTCAAATTTACGAGAGAAGATTGATGGAAAGATATAGAGATGGGAAAAAGGATTTACACATGGTCTTTATAGATTTGGAAAAAGCGTATGATAGGGTCCCAAGAGACATTCTTTGGAGGATTTTAGAGAAGAAAGGAGTACGAGTAGCATATATCCAAGCTATAAAGGATATGTATGAAGGAGCAAAGACTGCCGTAAGAACTCATGAAGGACAAACCGAAAGCTTTCCCATAACTGTAGGATTACATCAAGGCTCATCCTTAAGTCCTTACCTTTTTGCGTTGGTAATGGATGAGTTAACAGGACATATTCAAGATGATATTCCTTGGTGTATGCTTTTCGCAGACGATATAGTGTTGATAGATGAAACTCAGGAAGGGGTAAATGCAAAGCTTAACCTTTGGAGAGAAGTGTTGGAATCTAAAGGTCTTCGCCTAAGCCGATCAAAGACAGAATATATGGAGTGCAAGTTCAGTGCAAATGGAGGCCAAAACGAGTTAGGGGTGAGGATCGGAGATCAAGAAATACCAAAGAGCGACCGTTTTCGTTACCTAGGATCTATCTTACAAAAAGAACGGAGAATTAGATGGAGATCTCAACCATAGAATACAAGCTGGATGGATGAAGTGGAAGAGTGCATCCGGCGTGTTGTGTGACCGCCGTATGCCATTGAAGCTCAAGGGAAAATTTTATAGGACGGCAATAAGGCCAGCGATGCTGTATGGCACAGAATTTTGGGCGGTGAAACATCAACACGTACACAAAATGGGTGTAGCGGAGATGAGGATGCTTCGTTGGATGTGTGGGCACACGAGAAAGGATAAGATTAGGAATGAGGATATCCGGGGTAAAGTAGGAGTAGCCGAAATTGAAGGAAAGATGAGAGAAAATCGGTTACGGTGGTTTGGACATGTGCAAAAAAGGCCTACTGACGCTCCGATTAGAAGATGCGACTATGGGACAGAGGTTCAGGGCCGAAGGGGTAGAGGAAGACCTAGGAAAACTTTGGAAGAGACTCTAAGAAAAGACTTAGAGTACTTGGATCTAACGAAGGACATGACACAGGATCGAGCACAATGGCGTTCTAAGATTCATATAGCCGATCCCACTCAGTGACTTGGATTTTCCAAGTCTCCAACCAATAAGTTTTCCTCACTCGGGAAATTAAGGGAACACTACCCCAACCTACATGCTCCACTCAGAAAGCTTCAACATACAAGCTTCAACAAAAGAAAATTCAAAGAACTTAGCGAAGAAGGCTTTGGTGTATTTAACACAATACGTTGAAATGAAGGAAAGCTTATTTATTGATATCCCCGATAAGCTACAAATATGTACATATACATGAGTCAAAATAAACACACAAGAGGGAACCTTCACAAAGGTTGCTTAGGAGAAGTCTCAGCAGTCGGTAGAGCCCCAGAAAGAGAAGGCACCGGAGGGGGATCATTTGGAGCCTCAGTACTGGACAGAACCCTAGAAGGAGGAGGCATCAGAGGTTGATCATTTGGAGCTTCATTACGCGCGGTACAGCCCCAGAAGACGAAGGCAATAAATGCCTTTGGAACAAACCCACAAAATCTCTGATGATCAAGTAAAACCTGACCATCAGTTTCCTTCATCTGGTCAAGCTTCCTCTTCATGTTTGTAGCATAGTCATGTGCGAGCCGGTGCAACTGTTTATTCTCATGCTTGAGCCCTCTAATCTCCTGTTTGAGACTCATCACTTCAGCCGCCAATGATTCAACTTGGCGGGTTCGAGCAAATAGGCGTTGGGCCATATTAGACACAGAACCTGCACACTGAACACTGAGAGCCAGCGAATCCTTAACAGCTAACTCATCAGACCGTTTGGAAAGTAGTCTGTTATCTTTGGGAGTGAGAAGGTTCCTGGCCACCACCGCAGCAGTCATATCATTCTTCATCACGGAATCCCCAACGGTAAGAGGACCAGTTGGGGAGACGAAGGATGGGCGCCATATGTTGTCTGGAGAAGGCGGGGCTGCCTCTTCAACAAGGTTCAAGTCAAAACGACGGTCGGAGGGACCAGACATTTTCAAAGGTGTTGAAGAGAGAAGAGGTCGGACAAATCAAGATCTTAGAAGTGCAAGAATGAAGCTTCTACTGGTGGAGATTCAAGTGTGCTTTGGAACTTAATGCCAGCCTCTATAAAAATCTGCACTCGACGGAGCTTCAGAAATCAAAGAGGCGCCTGCTCAGAAATCGAAGAGGCGTTTGCTTTCTCAAAAGTTGGGCTGCTTAGAGATCACGAGGGTTGATCTCAGAAATCGAAGAGCCGTTTGCTTTCTCAAAAGTTGGGCTGCTCAAAGACCACGAAGGCCGATCTCAGAAATCGAAGAGGCGCTCGCTTTCTCAAAAGCTGGGCTCCCTAAAGACCACGAGGGCCGATCTCAGAAATCGAAGAGGCACCTACTTTTCCAGCCTTGTCAGCACCTGTCACACGCACACTCAGCTTTGCGGAAATTATGGGCATTCTGTCAAAGACTTCTGGGGAAGTAGAAAACACAGGAATCTTACTGTTCAATCACCCACTTCCCACACGCAACAATAGCTCATGGGTACCACAGATAACTTTGCCAAAGTTCTCTGCCAAAGTTGAGCACGTGAAGCTTGCAGCTCCCACTACATCGCTCTGACCAAGAAGGGTAAAAGAATAGCAAAGAAACAGCACTAACAAAGTTTAGACCCATAAATTTTGAAGGTCTAGCTACCATATTATTACCCACAAGGGTAAAGGAACAGTACCACTGCTGGATAATTGGAAAGTCCATGTATGTCAACCTCTGTGCTTCGTGGCAAGGTAGACTAGCAAACATGCCCAACCTTTACTCACATTCGAGAAAACACTCCCAATAAGATTGCTTGCTCCAAAATCGAAGAGGCACCGTCCTCCGAATCTAAAGAGCCAGACTCCCAACATGACTACTTTCTTAAAAATCGAAGAGAGGGTAAAGGAACAGTACCATTGCTGGATAATTGGAAAGTCCCTGTGTGTCAACCTCTGTGCTTCGTGGCAAGGTAGACTAGCAAACATGCCCAACCTTTACTCACATTCGAGAAAACACTCCCAACAAGATTGCTTGCTCCAAAATCGAAGAGGCACCGCCCTCCGAATCTCGAGAGCCACTCTCCCAACATGATTACTTTCTCAAAAAAATCGAAGAGACACTGCTCCCCGAATCTCGAGAGCCAGACCCCCAGCATGATTGCTTTCTCAAAAATCGGTGAGGCACCGTTCTCCGAATCAATCGAAGAGGCGCTCGCTTTCTCAAAAGCTGGGCTGCTCAGAGACCACGAGGGCCGATCTCAGAAATCGAAGAGGCATCTACTTTTCTAGCCTTGTCAGCACCTGTCACACGCACACTCAGCTTTGCAGAAATTATGGGCATTCTGTCGAAGACTTCTGGTGAAGTAGAAAGCACATGAATCTTAATGTTCAATCACCCACTTCCCACACGCAACAATAACTCATGGGTACCACAGATCACTTTGCCAAAGTTCTCTGCCAAAGTTGAGCACGTGAAGCTTGCAGCTCCCACTACATCGCTCTGACCAAGAAAGGTAAAAGAATAGCAAAGAAACAGCACTAACAAAGTTTAGACACATAAATTTTGAAGGTCTAGCTACCATATTATTACCCACAAGGGTAAAGGAACAGTACCACTGCTGGATAATTGGAAAGTCCCTGTGTGTCAACCTCTGTGCTTCGTGGCAAGGTAGACTAGCAAACATGCCCAACCTTTACTCACATTCGAGAAAACAGTCCCAACAAGATTGCTTGCTCCAAAATCGAAAGAGGCACCGTCCTCCGAATCTCGAGAGCCAGACTCCCAACATGACTACTTTCTCAAAATCGAAGAGAGGGTAAAGGAACAGTACCATTGCTGGATAATTGGAAAGTCCCTGTGTGTCAACCTTTGTGCTTCGTGGCAAGGTAGACTAGCAAACATGTCCAACCTTTACTCACATTCGAGACAACACTCCCAACAAGATTGCTTGCTCCAAAATCGAAGAGGCACCGCCTTCCGAATCTCGAGAGCCAGACTCCCAACATGATTACTTCCTCAAAAATCGAAGAGACACTGCTCTCCGAATCTCGAGAGTCAGACCCCCAGCATGATTGCTTTCTCAAAAAATCGAAGAGGCATCGTTCTCCGAATCTCGAGAGCCAGATACCACAGACCACTTTTTCAAAGTGCTCTGACAGAGTTAAAACATGTGAAACTGGCAGCTCCCACTACCGTGCTATGACCAAGCAGGGTAAAGGAATAGCATTACTACTTGTTGTTAGGGAGACTCCTATATATGTCGACCTCCATCCCCAACGGACAGGCAGACCTGCAAAAATGCTCAACCCTTCATCATATCTGAGAGGGCACTCCCAACAAAGCCTTTCGAAATATTCAGCTTTCTTTCCCCCCGATAATACCTCTGCAAACAAGCTATACTAGAGCAAGAATATCTCATATCATCAGGGTTAAAAGCAAGAGTATCCCATATCATGCTTTTTCCCTGTTTTTTCTTTTGGCCTTGTTTTTACCTGCAAGACAAGGAGAAAGAGAGCAATCAGTCAGCACTTGGAATCAAGCTTCCAGCCAGGAACTGACTGCCTGGAACCCCTTACCTGATTACTTACCTGGCATTGCTCTCGAGTACTCATCTTCATCATCTTATGTTTCCAGGGAAGATTCCGCATCTGCTTGAGGAACAGATAGGGCAAGTGCGAAGGATACAAGGAAGCATGTGGAGACAAGCGTAACAGCACACGTGCCGATACATCCATTACTCTGTCAAAAGCAAAAGTATCCCATATCAGCAGGGTGGAACGTACTCTAGATTTGATGGACTTGTTTTGACCCTCAAATTCTTCAGTCGGCCTTATACTCTGGAGGAAACCAGAAAAC